CGTAGCTGCTGCCCACCGTGGCCAAGGTGGCATTGTTGGCGCTGGCGATGGCGGAGTTCGTGGCCGCGGTGCTGCTGTAGCTCGCCAGCTTGGCGTCCACGGAGGCGGGGGTGGACTTGGCGTCCACCTGCAGCTGCAGCGCGTCCAGCGCGGATTGGTTGGCCTTCGTGGCCAGCCCCGTGGCGAGGCTGGCGTTCAGGGCGGTGAGGCTGACTGGTTCGCTGCAGGGAGGCCACGGCCGCGGTGTTCGCGGCCACTCCGGCGGCATTGGTGCCAATGGCCGCGGCGTTCGCGGCCGTGTCCGTCAGCGGCGTGTAGGCGGTCAGCACGGTGGCCAGCTGGCCGGCCGTGATTCCGGAGATCTCGGTGGTGCCTCCATCGTTGAGGATGTTCCCGGTGATGGTAGACTCGAATAAGCTCATGGTTTCCTTAGTCCAAGACGGAGACCCCGGCGCCCGACAGCGTCACAATTTGGTAGCTCACCAGGTGGATGTACATGCGCTGGGCGCGGTCCGCCAGCATGTTCTTGAAGGTGAAGCGCGCGAGGTCGCCCGACCGCGTGCTGATTCCGCTCAGCGGGTGCTTGGGGACGCGCTCCGTGGGGAAGGCGGCGATGAATTCGGTGTTGGGGTAGAACTGGTCCACGATGCGCATGTTCTTGATCTTGGAGTCGTAGGTGCCGCCCATGATCTCCAAGAAGTGGTGGAACTCCGCCGAGCTGGAGACGGGGTACCGGGGGTACTGCAGGGCTCCCAGCTGCATCTGGCCCTCCAGGTTGAAGGGGTGCGCGGCCGGCCCTGGGTACTCCAGGTTGCGGCGCTCGCCCAGGGAGTCCGTGGTCTGCCGGAAGGTCACGAAGGCGCCCATGAGCTTCGTGTAGGCCCTCGCGACCGTCACGTTGTGGCTGGTGACGCCAGCGGGCACGTTGGAGACCTGGGTGTGCATCGTCGGGTAGGAGAAGACAAGGCTGCGGCCCGAGAGCAGCACCTTGTTGAAGGACTCCACCAGGGCGCTGTCCAGCGTCACCTGGGAGGCCAGCACCCTGACGCTCTCGATGCTGAAGTCGGAGGTGCCGCCGGCCGGGCGCAGCGCGTCCCCGGCCTCCGCGACCAGGTTCAGCTGCGGGGGCAACATCTTCCCACTTTGGAAGAGCCCGATCAGGGTCGGGCTCATGAGGACGTCCCTGTACTCGCCGGCGGGGATCTCGACGGCGTTGCCCCCGAGGTCTTGCCAGAAGCCCTCGAGGCCCCGCTGGTTATACCATTCCTGCGGCTTCAGCAGCGAGTACAGGAAGCAGCTCCTCCCGTACTCGGAGATGTCATCGGTGCGCTGGCCGTTGGAGTAGAGCTGGATCCTCTTGATGAAGCAGCTGGGCTCGATGGTGCCCGGGAAGAGGCCTTGGGTGGCGTCGTTGTTCCTGACCCTGAAGGCGATCTTGACGCTCTCCGGGTCGATGAAATCCATGCCGCTGG